AAAATATTTTTGCCTTATTGGAATGTGATGAAGGGTTTATTGGGAATATTACAAAAATATTTAATCTTACTATGGAATGGAATGGCCATTTCATAGGTTTAGTAATGGAATGGATTTTTATTCCATTGGAGTGGTCATTCCATTTCATTCCTATATACTAATGCTACGTTTGGTGTGCATGAATGGAATGGAATCCAAGTGAGAATGGAATGAGAATGGGAATGGAATGGAATGGTCATTCTCATCCTATTGTTTAGTTGTAAATATGAAATGTGTGGGAATTGAATGATAATAACCATTCTAGTGTTTGGTTGGACCAATTTAAAATTTAGAATGGAATAAATTTCTAATTAAATTCTCCAAAATATCCAAATTAGTAACAAATAAATTAAATTAAATTAACAAAATGATATTCACTAATAATTTTTTAAAAATAAATGGTGGCAGTGGTAGTGGCGGTGGTGGATGGTGGAAAGCAGTAATAGTGTAGGTAGTGGTGTTGGAAGGCGGCGGTGGTGGCAATGGTGAAAATTGGTGGCAGTAGTGGTGGTGGAAGGTGGTAGTGGTGTTGGTGAAAGGCAGTGGTAGTAGTGTGGTGGTTGTGGTGGAAGGAGATAATGGTGTGACTGTGGTAGTGGTGGAAGGCAATGATGGTGGTGGTGGAAGGTGGTGACGATGGTGGTGGTGGTGGTGGAAGGCGGCGACGGCGGTGGTAGCGGCGGCAATGGAAGGCGGTGGTAGCGGTGGTGGTGGTGAAAGGTGGTGGCGATGGTGGTGGTGATAGAAGGTGGTAAAAGACGATGGCGGTGGTGGAAGGCGATGACGGCATTGTTGGTGGTTGTGGAAGGCGGCGGCTGCGGTGGTGGTGGTGAAAGGTGGTTGTGCTTGTGGTGGAAGGCGGCGGCGGCTGTGGCGGTGAGCTGTGGCGGTGGCGGTGGTGGAAGGTGGTGGTGGTAGTGAAATGCAGTAGCAGTGGTGGTGGTGGAAGGTGGTGGCAGTTGTGGGTGGTGAAAGGTAATGGTAATGGTGATGGTGGAAGGTGGTGGCGGTAGCAATGGTGAAAGGCAATGGTGGTGAAAGGCGGCGGTGGTGGTTGTAACAAATAGTGGCGGTAACGGTGGTGAAAGGCGGTGGCGGTAGCTGTGGTGGTGGAAGGTTATGGCAGTGGTGAAAGGCAATGGCGGCGGTGGTGGTGGAAAGTGGTGGGCGATGGTAAAAGTCGACGGCGGTGAAGGTGGCTGTGGCGGTGGTGGAAGGCGGCGGCGGTGATGGTGGGCGATGGCGGTGGTGGAAGACGATGGCGGTGGAAAGTGGTGGGCGATGGTGAAGGTGGTGGTGGAAGGCAGTGGTAGTGGTGGTGGTGGTGGTGAAAGGTGAAGATGATTGTGGTGGAAGGTAATAGTGGTTTTTGGACTTGGAATATGAGGGTGTTTTGGGAAGTCAATTTTTTAAAATAAATTACTTGGGAATAGAATGACCATTCCATAGGTTTAGTTGTGGAATGGATTTTCATTCCCAGGAATGGATTTTCATTCCAATAGAATGGCCATTCCCACTTTAAGTTGCATACCAAACAAAGAAATGGTTGGAATGGGTATTCCATTCCATTCCTTCATACCAAACATAGTATAAATAAATAAATAGTTGGAATAGACATTTCATTCCATTCTTACATACCAAACATGTTAAGAGTTAGGCTGAAGTCGATGCTAGGGTGATCAGAGCAAAAGTGTGTGATAATAGTGCCTACTGTTAGCATAGCAGTACCACTAATCATTTGGTCCAAGTTAGCATGGATATGTTGTTTGGTGTTTTTTCATTTTGAAAAAGATATACAGAAATATTCTGTCCTGTGTGAGAGTTGGTGCACTGAATTTGTCCTTCTTATATATAGTTTTTAATTTTTTAAATTTTAATTTGTGAGATGAAGAGCCTCACAGTGAATACCTTTGGGTGGACGTTTGTGTGAGTATATACCTAATCTAAAAATATATACTTATTCTAATGCTAGTATCTTATCGCGTAAATTAAACGGCATATAACACGTCACATCACTTATTCTTCAAAACATTATATTTTTATACTTAAAATTTCACCATTTGTATTAGTGAAATTTAAAATTTTATCATTACAACGATAAATTGCACAAGTTATTAAATTTTTAATTAAATGTAAAAAATTACTAAGAATGGGATTTAAAAAAAAAAAACTTTAGAAGTATCCAATTCTTATGGCAGCTTCAGTCCCAAGAAGACCACCATCAACAGCAGTGATAAAAGTTATTTTTGTTCCTGTTGTGCCTTGATGAGAGAGAGATGAAGAAAAAGGAGGAATTGGAATGCACAAGCTTAAGCCATTGAACTCTTGATTTATGTCTAAAATACATGCTCCTCTACTTCCTTTAAGAGACATTTAGTTGCTGAGAAGAAAGATCTTAGAATGGGGCTAGCTAGATCGGGATCAAGGGTTGTTTGACAAGCTGATAGTCTTTAGCAATTTGAACTTTGCATGAGATGCCAGTGAAGTCTTTAAAGCATTCTTCCTTCAGAGGGGATTCCTTCAGAGGGGATTTAAAGCATTTTCAATTTGAAAATCACTTAAAACATTTTGAATCGACTAACATTAGAATGCCAATTTAACTCTATAGCGGGCAAGAAAACACTCTTTAATTAATGCTCTAGCAAGTAAAGAATCTGAAAGCAATTTTCCTCTTAGGGGTAGGATTGTCAAGTTTGATGATCATAGGGTTATGATCTGAGAAAGATACACCGAGAGAGAGGGAAGGTAAGAACGTTGAGTTGCTCCGTCAATATTGACCCATTGAAAGCCTACTTTTTAAAAAAAAAAAAAAAAAAATTTAAATGTCTCGATGCATGCATGTACATTATTCAATTTCATGAAAAAAAGAAGCACAAATCATTCAAAATAGATGAGAAAATAGCATTAGATCCATTAAAACCGACACAACTCCATTTTGATTGTTTAAGATCGATTGAACTTGATTCGGTTCTGTTAGAATATATTGTAGAATATATTATTACTATATTGTAGAATATATTCTAACATGTATATGTTTACCATGTATAGGTTTACCATATAGGGTTTAGATTTCTTACTCTTCACATATCTCGTCACTTATATAAATCCCTATGTATTTTCATAATACATCAATATAATACAGAGTTCTATATTCTCTCATTATTTCTAACATGGTATCTCTTATCAGTCTCTCATTATTTCTAACATGGTATTTCTTATCAGTTGCACCATTAGCCCCATCACTCGTGGTCAACCTTCGGCAATTAACTTTCAAACTCATATTTCTGCATCCTAACCTTCAGCAAAAGCCTTATTTGGTCGCCCAATCAGCCTCCAAGACACATCAACAGCGGTGCCAGCAACAGTGCGTTACCTGCCACAATAGTAGCCATGCCACCCATAGCCAGCAGCGGTACCAGCAGTATTGCCACGTCACCTGCCATGTCCATTGCCATGTCAGACACAGTCAGCAGCGGTGCTAGCAGTAATGCCACATCACTTAACACATCATCTGTTAATCGTGTCTCCATCTTTATCAGGGTGAAAACTCATCTTTACCAAATCGCTTTCGTCATGTCGCTTTCAAGATCTTAATTATTTCCAAACTCAAGATGGTTTTATTCAATCCACCTTGATTTTGAGGGGCTCTTAGAATATATTATTGTCATGTATAGGTTTACCATGTATAAGTTTACCTTATAAGGTTTAGGTTTCTTCCTCTCCACACATCTCATCACCTATATATATATATACCCCTATATATATTCATAATACATCGATGTTAATATAATACCGAGTTCTATATGCTTCCTTCATAGGGATTTTAAGCATTTTCAATTTGAAAATCACTTGAAACATTTTGAATCCACTAACGTTAGAATGCCAATTTAACTCTCTAGTGGGCAGGAAAACTCTCTTTAATTAATGCTCCAGCAAGTAAAAAATCTGAAGGGAACTTTCCTCTTAGGGGTAGGATTGTCAAATTTGGTGATCATGGGGTTATGATCATAGACGCCATAACGAAGAAAGATACACTGAGAGAGAGAGAGAGAGAGAGAGAGAGAGAGAGAGGGAAGGTTGAGTTGCTCTGTGTCAATATTGACCCATGTCTTGATGCATGTATTTACGTTATTCAGTTTCATGAAAAAAAAAAACATAAATCATTCAAAATAGATGAGAAAATAGCATTAGATCCATTAAAACTGACACAACTCCATTCAAGTTGATTAAGATCAACTCGATTCAGTTTGATTATATACACTATTCCACTTCAATTTTAACTTAATGCAACTTGATTGGGCTAGCTTTGTTTCTCTCAAATTGAATGTTTCCAATGGTTTAGGGCCCCCTATTGCTCCAAACCCCCAAGATGATTCATTTTCCCTCAAAGCGTGTATGTAGTAGGTCAACATTAGATAAGTTAATACAACACAAATGATGTCTAAAGGAGGATTATTTTTTAGTATTTGAAATATCTATTACCTTTCTAATTTTTAATTTTTTTAAATATAGGAATTTATGTAATTATACATTGTCTAATTGAAATCGTCATAATAGGATAGTTTGTAATTTTTGAAAGCACACTAGGTTATTTGGCGGCAAAAATAATAGATGAGGCATTTAGCAATTTTTTGGAAGTACGTGAAAATTTGTCTTATATTTGGGAGTAAGGAAACAGTGCCCAAATTTAGTTCAAAATTTATTTTTGAATCTCAAAACTAAGGCACCAAAAATAGTATTTTGTGCAATAAGGACAGAGTTCCTTACAAGTATACGACATGGTTCAAGTCGTTTCAACAAGCCAGAGCTTGCCATCATGTCAGCCCCGCCGAATCGGGCTGGGAAAATTTGCAGCCATACCGGCCCGACCCGTTGACAGGCCAGTTATCACCAAGTCCGAGGTCATGTCGGGTTGGGTCAATGGGTGAAACTCACTCCGTCGGTTGAAGTGTTTGAACACTGACAACCTAACGAATCCTTGCAGGACGTTATCTCTTATTCATCACTTCCCTTGAACGAACCCTATTTCCCATTTCCTTTGAAATGCCTAATTAATAAAAAAAATGGAAGCTCTCAAATCCTCCTTCATCTCTACCACCCAATTCAAAACCCCAAAAAACCCCAAATCCAAATCCAAATCCAAATCCAAACCCAAACCACCGTCCATCCTCTCCACCTCAGTCACTCCAGACCCATGGTCTCTCAGCGACGGCAACAGCAACAAGAACCTCAATAGACCAAAACCCAAGTCGAAGAATCCGAAGAACCCACTCACCGACGACAACGCTCGTCGCATAATCAAAGCAAAGGCTCAATACCTGAGCGTGTTGAGGCGTAACCAAGGCTCACTCGCTCAGACCCCGAAATGGATCAAGAGGACCCCTGAGCAGATGGTGCAGTATTTGGAAGATGACAGGAATGGCCACATGTACGGAAGACACGTCGTTGCGGCGATACAGCGCGTTCGGAGTCTCTCCGGGAAGCCTGAGGGGTCGTATGATATGAGGGAAGTAATGGGGTCTTTTGTTGCAAAGCTTTCGTTTAGAGAGATGTGTACTGTGTTGAAAGAACAAAAGGGGTGGAGACAAGTGCGGGACTTCTTTGCCTGGATGAAATTGCAGGTGTGGATTTTTTTAGCTTTCAGAAATTGGTTATAATTGTGTTGAATTGGTTACTTTAGATGAATTATCAGTTGGGTGTTTCATAATATTAAGTTTTGAGATCAAGACCAGCTTGCATCAGCTTACAATGTAGGTTAATGTTAATGATTCTCATTACTATTATTTCTGAGGGTATGATAGCAGTTAAGTTTGATAGCTATTATAATACTATCTATTAGTCGGAAACTCACAAACATTAAATTATTGTTCTGTTTGATGATGCCTGTTGTCTCGTATTTTCTTTGTGATCAATGATCTTAAAAATTTAGGTGAAAGTAGATTAAAGACAAAATCTCTCCACCTCCTCCCAACAAATCCAGGGGCCAAAAATGTTAAAAAAATCCAGAAGTTTCTACCTTTCTATATATATGTGTGTGTGTGTGTGTGGTTCTACATTTTTAATGAAAGCTGAATTTTAGATTCAATAATTGCTTTATGTAGCTTTTTTATGGGTAGGTAAATCACACACCCCTTTATTGTCCCATGGGGGACTCAAACCCTCAACCTTCCATTTGGAAGGAAGATGAAATACCACTTCGGCTAAAGCCCTTGGTGGTGTCGTTTTATGTAGTTACTATTATCCCTTTCGCCGTTTATGTTGTTTATTTATAGAATTAGATGGCTACTGAGTGAAAAGGCACCAAAATTTTCTCCATGTCATCATAATTTCATTTTGCATCAGTTGTGCATAGCATGTTTTGAAAGCGTGCTAGACTGTTACCTGAGGCTCTGATGAGTCGAAGTGCAAGCAGTGATTTTTTATTTATTATTTTTTATTTATAAGTAAAGTTTCATTGAAAAGCACGGGAGCGTAACTCATATACAGCTGCTATAAACAAAAAGAACTATGTGAAAGGAAGCGCCTGATCCTCTGCTGAAGACTTAGTTGATCTTTTGGACTCTACAGGTCCTTAGGTTCGGCTTTCGTTTTTTGTATTAGGGACGCGTTCCCCTTTTGAACGCTTTTCTAATCAATTATTACTTATCAAAAAAAGAAAAAAAAAAGGAACTATATTCTCAAGCTATCCAAAAAAACTAATAGGAGTTTTGTAGATTTGCAATTTCTTCCATGAATCCATGAAAATAAAGAACTAAGCACATAAAATTTCAGCACCTCTATAGAAAATTCTTCTCCCTCGAAGGATCTTCTATTCCTTCCCACAAACATAAGGGGGCAGCTCTCCAAGTATCTCTAGCATGAAATCCCATTATATTCCACGCCTCAAGCAAACTCAGAACAGAAACCGACATAACCCACTGAATCCCAAAGATGGTGCAAAGCATGGCCCACCAGTCCCTAGCTACCGGGCAGCGCAAAAGAAGATATCGATCTACTGTCTCTTCATTCCTCTTGCAGATAAAACACCAGTTGACAATGATTTGTTGCCACTTAGTTATCAATCGTCAAGCTCCTTCTGAGAGCTGCCGTCCATAAAAAAAAAGCCACCTTTAAGGGGTTTTGGTATGCCAAATTGCCTTCCATGGAGCCAGAGGCCCCTCGACATTCAGCAATCTACTATAGAAAGATTGCAATTGAAATTTCCATGGCTAGAGCCCATCCAAGACCACTCATCCCCCTCCCTACATATGCTTTATCTGCACAAAAGCGCCACAAACCCAAGGGCATCCTCCAACTCTCAATCCTGATTCCTGAAGAGTTCTCTTGAACCACACATCCCACACCAACCTACGCTATCAAGGTAATAGTAATATGCGACTGTCACCTATCTATCCACAACAATCCAAGAAAATCTAGAGAAAGTCCCCTCCAAAGCCCTGTTACCATACCAAGTGTCCACCTAGAAACTAATCTGTTTACAGCTCTTCACCTTGAAGCGTATGTGTTTGAAAATTTCATCCCAGCCTCTGCGAATGAATGGCCCCACCCTTGCAGGGATCTCACCGCAAAGGAGCATCAACTGCCTCTAGATTCCCCAAACTTACAAAGGATGACCCTTATCTACAATCTCTCCTTCTCCACCCCAAATCTATAAAGCCACTTACCCAGAAGAGCTTTATTAAATAAATTCAGATTCCTTATGCCTAAGTCCCCTGTCGAATTGGTCTGCAAATTTGATTTCGTCTCACAAGGTGATACTTGTACTCTTCCCCCAATCTGCCCCATAAGAAGTTCCTTTGCAACTGGTCCAACCTCTTTGCCTCTGAGGAAGGGAGAGGAAAGAGAAGAAAAAAATAAGTAGGAAGGCTCGAAAGAGTATTTTTCAAAAGGCTTAGGCATTCCCCTTTTGATAGAATTGTTTCTTCCAACCTGCAAGTTTCCTCTCAAAGCGCTCCATCACCGGGTCCTATATGGAAACTCTCCTTGATGGTAACTCCGAACGAAGACCCAAGTATGCCACTGGAAAAGACCCAACACCACTGTGAAGAATGTTGGCTAAAGATTCAATCTTGCCTACCTCTCCTAGTTGATACTCAATCTTACCTACCTCTCCCACTGGATCTCAACCCTGACATGGCCTGAAAACACATCAAAACACACTTCAAGTACCTCAATTTGGGCAAGTCCTCAGCACAAAGTCATCTACAAACAGAAGATGTGAAATCTCCATCTGACATTAAGGATCTTTGCCCACCTCGAATCCCCTGATCCTCCTCAACTCTACAGCCCATCTCATCATTCTACTAAACGCCTCCGTCACCATAATGAGAAAATGTGATAATGGATTCCCCTGCCTCAACCCTCTCGAGCAACCCAAGAAACCGGTGGGGACTCAATTCACCAAGGCTAGGAATCACACTGTGGATACACAAACCCACACACACACAAATTTTTTCTCCTCCACCTCTCACCAAAACCCATCCTCCATCCCTGGGATTCCGGAAACAGTATTTGATAGGGGAAGGGGAGTGGTGAATATGTCTTAAGGATATTTTTCAGCTTTTAACTACCTTTCCAAAAATCAGTCAATCCAATTTAAATTCCAGTTAGATATTTTTGTGAGGATTAATTTTTCAATAACAATTAAATTTCAATTTCAGCTTCAATCAATCAAATCACAAATAATCATAAACATTAAATACAGTTGAGTAGAGAAAAATAGATTTTACTTATCCGAAAAAAAAAAAAAATACGAGTAGAGAAAAATAGAGAAACATGATTTTTTACGTGGAAAACCCTAGAAGGAAAAACTATGAGACCTAATCCAGTCAGGCACAATGCACTATCGAAAGAGATTACAACTGGGTTAACAGTTCACTCACCCTCAACCCACTAGTGACATCTAGACATAGATGACGCCAAACTTTCCCCTGAAAGTCTTCTGGGCGTCCGTCTGTTTGTCTACAACATCTGCTCCTCACGAACCTGTTTTTCTAGTGATTACTCGCCCATGCCTGCTCTGATTACTTTACTAAGAGTACCCTCTCGAGGCTTCCACGTATTTCCTTTTCTTGTTCCAGATTCCATCTTCTGTGGTGAAGAGGCTTGAGAAACTACTAAGAAATTTTCTATTGGACTGAATTGGGGATGATTTTAAGTTCCACTGGTGAAATGGGGGAAGGTGTGCAGCCTGAATCAAGTAGGGGGACTCTGGATCAGGAGGACTGCTGTGTTAATAAAGCTTTGTTAGGCAAGTGGCTATTGTTGGGGAATATAACAATGCCGCTCCGGCTCCTTCAAGGGTGCGGCCCGGATGTCAAATGCCATAAAAGGCATGACCTACCCTCACTGGACACCAATTGGTTTTCAGATGAGATGGCATGACCCAATCTTGGTCAACTCGTATCAAAGCCAGAGGTCATGAGTTCGAATCGCAGAAGCACCATTGCGTGGGGGAGGGAGTGTTGGGGGAATACAACAATTTCGCTCTTTGCATGGGTGGTTCCTGGATGTCAAAGGCCATAAAATGTGTGACCTATCCTCATCTGGACACCACTTGGTTTTCAGATGAGATGGCACAGCCCAATCTTGGTCAACAATGGAGGTATAGGGTGAAGAGAAATTGGCTTTGGAGGAGGGTCATTTTTTGCACAGTTATTGAGGATAGGGGAGGGTGGATCTTGAAGGAGGTGAGCATTTCAGCAGGGGTGGGGGTTAAAGTCCATTTATCTGTGACCTAAATGTGTGATTGAGGATGCGAACATTCTGTCATAATCTTTGTGATTCAGTGACTGTCATGTCTACAGCACCTAAATGTCCATGAATGACTCAAGACACTTTGACACATACAACACCTGTTTTGAGTAGGAATATGCCAACACATGACTCAATCTCCTCACATGTTTAATAAACTTAGCCCAAGTGGGCCAGGCCCTTGGACTGTAATCGCTGCATTTCACTATCCTGAAAACAGGTTTTTATTTGTTTATTCTCTTTAACTTTATTTTGTAGTTCTTTTTTTCTTTCTTCTTTTTGAGAATCTGCTCATATTAATTGGGTGTAATCTTAGATTTATGCTTGAACAGTTAAGCTACCGGCCCAGCGTTATTGTCTATACAATTGTTCTTCGTATGTATGGTCAAGTTGGAAAAATCAAGCTTGCCGAGCAAACCTTCTTGGAGATGCTTGAAGCAGGGTGTGAGCCAGATGAAGTTGCTTGTGGAACCATGCTGTGTGCATATGCTAGATGGGGACGCCACAAGGCCATGTTGTCATTTTATTCTGCTGTACAAGAAAGGGGGATTATGCTCTCTGTTTCAGTTTTCAATTTTATACTTTCATCATTGCAGAAGAAATCACTCCATGGAAATGTTATAGAGATTTGGAGGCAGATGGTTTATAAAGGGGTACTGCCTAATCATTTTACTTATACAGTTGTCATCAGCTCATTTCTAAAAGAAGGCATAATTGAGGAAGCATTTAAGACTTTTGAAGAGATGAAAAACTTGGGGTTCATACCAGAGGAGGTAACTTATAGTCTCCTTATTAGTTTAAGCTCAAAAAATGGTGACCAGGATAAAGCACTTGAACTTTATCAAGACATGCGATCACAAAGAATAGTTCCAAGTAATTTTACATGTGCATCACTTCTAGCTATTTATTACAAAAATGGGGATTATGCTAAGGCTGTTTCTTTGTTTTCAGAAATGGAAAGCCATAAAATTACAGTAGATGAAGTCATATATGGTTTACTTATTAGGATATATGGAAAACTTGGTCTTTATGAGGATGCCAAAAAAACGTTTAAAGAGATTGAGAAGCTGGGCCTACTCAGTAATGAGAAAACATATATAGCAATGGCACAAGTCCATCTCAATTCAGGAAATTGTGAGAAAGCCTTGGGAATTATGGAACTAATGAGGTCAAGAAACATTTGGTTTTCACGATTTGCTTATATTGTCTTGTTGCAATGTCATGTCATGAAGGGAGATCTGGCATCTGCTGAAGCTACATATCAAGCTCTATCGAAGACTGGACATCCTGATGCTAGTTCTTGCAATGACATGCTCAATTTATTTATGAGACTGGGATTAACAGAAAAGGCCAGGGATTTTATTATCCAGATTAGGAAAGATCAAGTAGAATTTAGTGAGGAGCTTCTCAAGACGGTGATGAAGGTATATTGCAAGGGGGGACTGCTAAGTGATGCAGAGCAGTTGATTGAAGATATGAGTACTAGTGAATCATTTAATGATAGTAAGTTCATTCAAACATTTTATCTGGCTATGCATAGAGAATCCAGGGGACTAGACGAAGTTGAAGATCCTATTGAGCCCTCGGACCAAGCTTGTAGTATGGCTTTCACGCTGATGCTTAGTCTGTATTCAGCAGATCGAAATGCCAATAAGACAGCAAAAGTACTTTTATTGCTGCTCAAGACTGCTGATGGCTTGTCCCTGGCCAGTCAACTCGTCAGCAAATTCATTAAAAAAGGCAAGAAACCTACTTATATGCTTTTATTATTGTTAATATTATTTTAGGATAAATAATTGCTTATAATTTCTGCTTTGAATATTTCAAGTCTCTTTTTCTCTTGGGAGCACTCCCTTCTTGAGTGCCTTTAATGAAATATTACTTATATATATATTTCAAGTCTCTTTATCTTTCGTTAAATTAGGTGTTTGACTTGAAGCTAAAATGATACACTTTATCTGAAGAGTCAATGTTAATTCCATATATAGGTGACATATCAAAAGCAGAATTCCTTTATCAGCTGCTGATCAAGCTTGGCTGTAAGCCAGAGGATGCTGCAAGTGCGTCTCTGATTAGCTTATACGGAAAGCAACAGAAGTTAGAACAAGCCCAGAAAATCTTTGAGGCAGTGGTGGATTACTCTACGACTAGAGAAACTTTATATAATGCCATGATTGATGCATATGCCAATTGTGGGAAGCCAGAGGATGCATACTTGTTCTACAAAGAAGTGACTGAGAAAGGGCATGATTTTAGTGCTGTTGCCATCAGCATACTTGTGAAGGCTTTGACTAATGGTGGTAAGTGTGGCTAATATAAAGAAAACAATTTTGTTCCATGAATGATACTACTAGAGTGTTGGACTGTTGAAGCTACCATTTATTTAAAATTTGTTGGTATTTCAAATCCACTCATGAACTAGGGATTCTGTGGATGGGATTTGTTTGCTTACACAATGGGTTCTTAACCTCGAATCTGTTCATATTTATCTTGGAATAAGCTTTTGTTATTGATAATGCATAACCTTCTACATATCTCATCCTCAGCTCAGTCTAACTGTTACTAACTTTCCTGGTGAGTGGCTGAGAGTTGCGAAATCATCCCCTGGATGTTACTTGTAAATGGAGTCGTAGATTTTTTATTTTATTTTATTTTTTGGTTAGAAAATATTGCATTACAAACAAAACCGTGAGACAGGGCACGTCCTTGCACACATGGAGCATACAGGAGTCACAGACTAGACTCTTTATACAACTCAACACCTAAAAGATGGACAATGGGGTGGGGAGTCTGGAAATTGCACGAACATTCAAAGATGAACATTGTACGGTAATCGGTTCCTTGGACTTATGTACAGGCATTACAACATACTCAAAACCATACCTATTATATCCCCGCTGCATTCTACCTTCAAGGCAAAAGGCCACAATATGCCAATCTTGAGGAGCTCTTTTCTTGGGGTAACCTGGGAATCACCCAAAAATTAACCAGATAGAGAGAATAGTATGTACCACAATTTCAAGCCACCCAAAATGAAAGAGAAGGTGATTAGTATTCCTCTCAGCGCTCTTGCACATGTAACAGCAGTTTGGGATTAATTTACCTCTTATACCCATATTAGCAATGATCAATATACCTTAGAAAACACTTTAACCATCCAAAATATATTTCCAAGGAAACTGGAGCCTATCTCCCCAGAATAGGACCCTAAAATACATCTCATTCCAAGCTGAACACTTTTTATCAGAATTCCATCTCAAAACGTTCTTGCTCTATCCACATATAGAAGTCATATACAAGATTTCAGAGTGGGAATCTATGCTATTTAACTCCCAGTCCCGAAGGGTTCTAAAAAACTAGGTTTTGCGGCATTCTAGTATCCAAGAATCATAAACCAAAAAAGTTTCTCCTCTATATGGAACAATTTTAAACAGTTAAGGGCATATAACTTTTACGGGGACATCTTCACTTCCAAAATACTCTTATCACCAAACACAAACCCCAAAACTCCTTCCATCGTCTTCTAATACCCTTCCACATAACAGTACTATAAGTGGTTGTGACCTGCCTAGAGCTCCTCCCCTATTTTTGCCCCCAAATTTCTCCTTGATAAGCCGATATGCTAGTGATCTTTATGCCGTAAAATCCACAATCATTTCCTTGGGAAAGTTTGGTTGAGTTGTCTCATCAACATCAATCAAAGTCCCTACAAAGGTATACAGAGACTTTCAAACCGCGAGATAACATTTGAACTCCTCTCTCGTGCAGATCATAAGGATGGTGGACTGTGAACATTTTTTTTTTTTTTTTTGATAAGTAAATATACATTAACAAAGACGCTCAAAGGGGAGCGAACAACTGTGCACTTATAGGTGGCGACAACTACACCTAGGCTGGGTGGCAACAACCTAGGCTGAGTGGCTGGCGCAAGTTATTTTGATATTTTTGTGTTTTCGTAGATGTATAAGGTTGTCTGGTGCCCATAAATAGGCATATAAGTATCAGTTACATTCAGTTTTGAATGATTCAATAATGTTATGGTTTTGAGTTCCCTTCTCTCAGTGTTCTTCTTCGCCAATTCTTGCTTTTCTCTACCCTCAATCAGTCTAGCATGTCTATTCACTATATCTTCTCACCCCATTCGTCTGTTTCTCTCCCCTTTTCTTCTGGCCTTATATCATCTTCTCATTCTCACCCCCTTCTTTCATTCCCGTCTTGCGTTATTCTACCTTATTATCTGACAAATAAGTTCCTTGAAACCAAATCAACCTTCATTCCTAGCATCACTTCAGATCACATGAGAATTCCTTAAGATACCTCAACCGAATTCCTTCAGCCTCACAAAAGATGACAGTGTCATCAGAGAAGGGAAGTTTGGGGATTGACAAGTGAATCCCTCCCAGTCTGCCGACCTCAAACACACTAACGAAACAACCCTTCTTTTTTTCCTGATAGGAAGCAACCCTTCACCTTTTTCCTAGTCATTTTGCTAAGAACTTCCATCATCAAAATGAAGAGAAGAGAGGGGAAATTGATCAATTGAGATGCACAGTCTGAGCCAATTCCTCCATTTACTCCAAACCATTACAACCCATAACATGGAGGAGGAAGCCCCCAGAAACATGATCAAAATGTGAGTCAGCATTATTAGAAAATGACTTTGAAATAATCTGTATGTTATCCAAACTCCTAGTACTGATGTTGGCTACAGATACACTGCTATTCTATCTGTACTTGACTCCAAGTTTTCAACACTCATCTTGTACAGTACTGCTCCTACACAAGTGCATTGACATTGGAGCATTGGAAAGTTAAAAGGGGAATTGCTTAAATGGCTTTGGTTTTTATCATGTTGCTTTTCTTTCTTCAATGTTGATGGTAACTCATTTGCAGGTAAATATCACGAGGCAGAGAATGTCATTCGTAGTAGTTTTCATGACAGCTTGGAGCTTGATACTGTGGCATACAATACATTTATAAAGGCAATGCTGGAAGCAGGTTCACATGGTCCATTTTCCTCCATTTAGTAAAGAAATTTGTTGGCAAAAGAGAGTCTGCAATGACACATAAGGGCACTTTAATCGTACAGGTAGATTGCATTTTGCAGCAAGCATTTATGAGCGCATGGTTTCCTTTGGGGTAACTCCATCAATCCAAACTTATAACACCATGATCAGGTAAGAACTTGACTTGCTTTGGTCCTCCTAAAAGAAAAGCACAAAACAGAAATGAATTTAAATAAAGAAAACTTGTTTATCTATCTATTCTGCTGAAGTAGTTGATCATGGTTGCAGTGTTTATGGACGAGGCCGAAATCTGAATAAAGCTGTAGAGATGTTCAACATTGCTCAAAGCATGGGAGTATCCTTGGATGAGAAGGCATACACGAATCTGATATGCTATTATGGAAAGGCTGGTAATTATCTATTTCCTGCTTAACCAAAATAGAAGAAAAAGTATTTTCCATCAATCTGATAAAAATATAAACTACTTGTATCTATATGTGTGTGTATATGTATGAATGGTTAAATGCTTGCATACATACATATATATATATTAAGGCCATTACCATGGGTGCTTCCCACTGAATGGGGTTCCGGTAGGAGTAAACTGAATACAAACCTAATGTTTGGCATTATTTGCATAAAGTTGTTACCTTCCAAACCCACATTCTTACGCTTGGTAGCCTGGGCTTCTATCGTTGCACCAAGTGATGGTCCTTGTATTGTGTGTATTGGGGTGAAATGGAGCAGATCCATGTAAATCCTAGTCTAGATCTATAATTTAGTGTCAAGATCCATATTTGGATTACATGGATGCGATTCGTACTCAACCCATATAATCCACGCAAGATTCTAATAATATAAATTATGCTTGATTTGGGTCGAATCTCGGGGTATACCGATCCAGTTCACCTGTGCTTATATACACACCTGATTTGACTCCATGATGAATCTTTCAAGGAAAGATCAATATCATACTTGTTTTGAAATTCGAATTCAAAATTAAAATCCAAATCCAACTGACTTCAGTTCGGATATCAAGTCAAACCTGCATGAGATCACAAGTCACAATGAAATGGGAGGTGTTACTAAAGGATTTGTTGGTTTTATACACAAGCTGGTCGTCCTTTACTATCTCTATGACACAAGGTTTTTAATGGGCTATGAAATGCAGTAGATTTGATTACCTAGTAAATTGGATCATCTTTGGTACGAATCATTGAAAAAGCATCAAGAGTTTCCTGAATTGCCATGATAAAGATATATTCTAGATCCACTGCTTTTCCTTTCAATTGATATCTTTTGTTGTTGTTAGAAGTCATATTTTTCAATGCTTGAGATTAGTGCTTAATCTTGTTATGTTTTCAAATAGGTAAAATACATGAAGCATCCCTTCTATTTAGCAAAATGCAGGAAGAAGGAATAAGACCTGGAAAGGTATGTCTTCCTTTTTTTATTTTTATTTTTATTTTTTATTTATTATTATTAAATAAATAAGCAAATTCATTCAAAAAACGTTGTCTATACTGCTATGACATAAAAATTCATGATAGAAGAGAGGATCCGGGTGCATTGGTTTTATCCTTAATTTCATTATGGAATGGTATATGAGGCATGCACAAATGCTTAAAAACATTATGGAATGGAATCTGATGGTTTTTGGGTCCTTCAATGTTGTTTTTTAATTTGTTGTGTTACATGGTCTCCAACCATAAACTTGTATGGAAGCTGATCCTCACTGTCCATTAAACTCTTTTTTGAACTATCAATGTGGTGCCTACTTCAATTTATTGGGGGAAAATGCAGGTCAGCTACAATATTATGATCAATGTATATGCTAAAGCAGGACTTCATCGTGAAGCAGAGGAACTTTTTCAAGCTATGCAGAAAGAGGGTTGCTTACCGGACTCTTTGACCTACCTCGCCCTAGTTCGAGCTTATACAGAGGGACTGAAATACTCAGAGGCAGAGGAAGTCATTATTTTAATGCAGAAGCAAGGAATTCCCCCTACCCGTGCTCATTTTAACCTCTTACTTGCAGCTTTTGCAAAAGTGGGTTTGATCCAGGAAACTGAGAGAGCACATAAAAAGCTAATTGACTCTGGTTTAAGTCTCGATCTTGCATGTTATCGTACTATGCTGAGAGGTTACATGGACTATGGACATGTGGAAGAAGGCATCACCCTCTTTGAAAGGATAAGTGGTGGATGTGTGGAACGAGACAGGTTTATTATGAGTGCAGCTGTGCACTTCTACAGGTCAGCAGGCTTGGAACAGAGAGCTGAAGGTGTTCTAAACTCCATGAAAAGTTTGGGGATCTCATTCCTGAATAACCTTGAAGTCGGATCAAAGACAAAAACTCCTTGATATATCAGAAACAACCTAAGCCCACATGCGATTATATATTTGTGGATGGACAGTAAAATCCATGGGAGATTCCAAAACTTGATGATAAAAGAAGTTAAAAGATAATCAATTATATATCATATGCTTGCATACCAGAGGTGGCGTGATTGTATACTGGTCCAGAAATGTCCTAATGCTCATATGTGGTGCGGTGAAGAGCTTCTGTTCCTCAAATTTTCAAAGGCTGCAGGTTTTATTGGCCTTAAAAGTTTTCAGGATCAATGATATCCAGGATTTTGCAAACCAGCTGGGTTAAGTTTAATCAACACGGCAGGATCCCTTGTGCTCGTATCCTTTTCTGCTGACGGCTGAAGTTTAATGTTCACTCTTCTCTCTCCATGTATTAAAAAAACACTCATATGTGTGGCTCTAGAGAAGATGACGGCAACGTCGATACTCCTTCCCTATAGCTTGAGTTAGGGTTATAGTGTAAGCTACTAAACTGGTGGTTGACATACACATTCAGATTCAACAATTCCATTTGTTGCCTAAACTTTGACATGTACATCAAACTATAGTTGGATTATGGTTACCGAGGCAACTGAATCAAATTGGATCCATGCAGGATTGTAATCTACTTTTGTCATCCGATTTACCTGAGTTGACTTTTATTGTAGGTAACTGTAAAAGGACATTATATATATATATACTTCAACCAAAAAAAAAAGAAAAAAAAGAAAGACATTATATATATATATATATATTTCCCTAGTGTTGATCAATATTTTTTTATTATCATGTGAAAGAAATATCTTTCTTATTCTTTTCTATTTTTGTGATTATTATTAGATGGTGCTTGATTTTATCAAGGAAATCGTCTTCCTTCGAAGCAATCCAGGAACATTTGGGGGTTTAATTTGCATGGTTTAGCATTAACTCTGGGCATAACATGGCTGTGGTACAACTACTCTCTTGAACAAACTTATCGAAAATGCAAATCATGAAGCTGTCTTATAATGTTAGTTATAAAACTTCATTAGGGAGTATAAATTTTTTTATGTAAATATAATCATTATTGATATGAATTCTAAATGATTACTTTGTTGATGTGAAATTACTGGATCCGATAATTAAGTTAGTATTTGAAAAATTATAAGTTAAAAAAATACAATGGATTGAGAAACCGGAGATCCACAAAAGCTTCATGAGAGTTGGAAAACTTCCAGCCTAACTTATATTTAATTTGTGTAGTATGTTTTGATTTGTCCGTCCCTTTGATTTTTTAGGGTTAGTATCCACCTAGGAAATTACAAATGTACTATTATAGAAGTTTTGAATTAATAATAAAAATATCCTAAATTATACAAATTTTAAATTACAGTATTATCCTCCATAAATTATAATATTATAAATATTTATTGGATATAATGGTAAAAATAATTAAAACTTTAAAGGATGGTTCCTTTCAACTTCTGTGCCGCCTATATTTCCTCACAAATCTAATATTCCATATCACCTCTCAAAACAATTAATTCATCTTCCTAAAATCAAAAACAAAATTTATAAAACAATCCTCAAATAGTAAACTTAAATAAGTTCCTTTCATATTGAATATAAAATATTAAGTTTGAATTTAAATTATATAACCTTTAACTAATTGGAACCAAATCGATTCCTTAAATTTCAAACAATAAATAAGTTTATAGGAGAATCCATTAATGTGATCCGTTGTAGTCTAGTTGGTCAGGATACTTAGCTCTTACCCGGAATTAACTTTTTTAAAATTTCCATTTGGAAAAGCTGACGTGGCCAAGATTAGCCCCTAACACCTGAACTTTTCTCTGATTTTCCTTTTTTTTTTTTTTTTTCCTGGGAAGGTAAACAAATTTTGCATCGGAGGAGAGCCCAGTTCCATCTCTTCTGCTTTCTCTCTCCTCTCTAAAATCACACACTCCCTCTATAGTTTCTCCCTCTCTCTCTCCGGCGGAATGGCGGCTTGTGGAAGAAAGCAGGGGTACCTGATGGCGTCGAATTTGATAAAAACCCTAACTGGATCTTCCAACTTCGCTTCAAACTCGAGGGGTCTCAGCGACATCGTCAACACTGAGGTCGTCACCTCCCACACTGCTAAATGGATGCAGGTATCATTGACATGATGCTTCTATACATACACATGTATTATTTGTTTTAATCTTGTGAAAATTGTCTCTAGTTGATTATCAAATCTGTTGTCAGCTTCTAGCTAGTTCTGTCTGTTAGGGTTTTGATGCAAAGATGTCGAATTGGATCACCTGATGCATCTTCTTTGGTTTCATTCTTGGTACCCATAATTGATTACGTATTCTTACTTTCCATTTTTATTTCCTCCAATTCCTATTCCGAGACGGCGATTTGGTGCTCCCTAGCATAGCTTATTTGGGAAATTCTGAGAAACAAAGTTCATGAATTCGGGAGCACAATCCTGTGTATGACGAGAAATAGGAAAATATATTTTTTCTTGAAGAAGAAAATATTTTTTTGAAGGAGAAGGGCAGTTCATAACAAATTACTGCTTAGTTAGACTGAAGGTCAAAATTAAATCTTTGTGGGGTAGTATTAAGGGAAAGTTTCTTTTGAAATTATATCTCACAGGTATAATAATAATTGGAACTGACTTTGATCAAAATATAATGCAGTAAGAAAGAAAAAAATTTGGACGGAAGGGAGAGAAGAAGGGTTGGATGAGACATCCTAGGGAAGAGATTGCGTCTTTCCTTCTTTCTGTTCGGTTGGATGGAAGAGAAGAGAACAAGCTCACAATTTATATGAGAGAAGGAAAGAGAAAGTTTTAAATTGTTTTTACCATTATACCCAATAATATCTATAATATTGTAATTTATAGAGGATAATACTGTAACTTAAAACTTGTATAATTTGGGATAGTATTTAATTTAAAACCTCTATAATAGCCCACTTGTCTTCCCTCCTCTTTCCCACCTATTTTTGGATGGATGAAAATTTGTAAAGGAGGAAGGATGACTCATCTCTCCTATTATCCTTTCTTTCATTGTATCATCTCTACGAAACAAAGGAAGTTTGTTCTTTCCTTCATATTTTCTCTCCGCACCTCTTATTTCCCTCCTACCAAACAAAGCATAAAGCTCATAAAGAATTCTCTTTCTTTAGAACAAGAAGAATTGCTGACTGAATAGGTTTATGCTTTAGCGATTGCTATTTGAATAATCTAATGTCCTCTAAATGAAGGACATCTATAAATGAGAATGCAATTAATATTCTAGTACATATTTTTCCCCCAACCGTTCCTCACAATTGGCTCAAACAAGAAGAAAACTTGAGCTCTTCTCAAGCTTGACTTAGCTAAATCTTGCTTTAACTTGTTTGGCAGGACTATTGAGCTAAGCCTGAGCCTGCGTTATGTCATTTGGTAAACTAGCCAATTGAGCAACCCGTGGCTTGACTTGTGCATGCCCAACTTGGCTTGTGTAGGCTTAAATTCATGAGGGTGCAAATTTTTTTTTGTCACATGCTGTTATGTAACATAAGTTGATTGCCTAATGGAATCTAGAAAGTCATAACAATACATGTTAGAGCTACCAATATTAATGCAGAATAAGTAAAAGTTACATAACCTTATTTTAATTTATGAACTCTACAAAAGTATTTTTGATTTTTTGTCATCTGTTGTGTCAGCTCAAGATATATGACAAAAATTCCATGTATTCTCTAGTTGATGCTTGATGAGCTAAACCCTTAACTTTCTTTATAACCATTAGCATGACCACATTGCTTCTTTCACAACTAAAGACTAAACCTAGCCACCATCATCATTTGGAAAATCCCTTGAAACCAAGTCAAACCAGGCCCTAATCCTATTATTCAGTGTTCACTATTCATTCAATATCGATCAAAATCAATACATCCAAATTAAGCCATCGAAAATACCGCAAAACCCAAACAAACCCTAACCACACCCCTTAGCCTAATATTATAAGGGAAAATTTAAAATACGACAAGTTAAGTTCCATACATTTCAAATACGGCTGTATCCAAATAGTATATGGGTAAAAGAGCTAATAAACAAAAATAATTACCAAGTAGGTAAAAATATTCTTTTGGTCCAAATTACCCTCAATTACTTTTTGACTTTCATCGACATCCTCTATCTCTCAACCCCCTCTATATCTTTCTGTATTTATATATACAAGCATACACACATATATATAAGTAAACCACCACCACCCCTATCACCGGCGTTGGTGTTGACATGTAGCCCGACAGTGGTGGTGGCGGCGGAAGAAGGGAAGAAGGAAGGAGGAATGTGGTGGAGGAGCCAGTAACTTGTTTTGTCCTAGGTGCGGTGGCCGAGTTCGCGAGTGAGTTGGAAGATTCGGGCAGCGCACTAGGCCGGACTTTGACTCGACGGCCTTTTTTCGTTGACCTTTTTGTGGCGATCTTCTTTCTTGAAGGATATAGACATGGAAACCCAACCCCAGTCTCCATGGACGCCCACTTCAATCTCACCTCAGATTCAGACTCCCATATCCCTCCTCAACAACACCAACAACAAACCCTAAAAACAAAACCCATCACCCTCCAATTTTGAGAAGGCAAGGATTGGGGTCGTGGTGTTTTTTGTGATTGGAGTGTCTTTTTTAGTGAAATTCAATGAGATGGGTCTGAATTCAAATGCTATTTTGGTCATTAAGCTTCCTAATTGGAGAATATTTTGAGTAATTTCACGGATTTTGTTTTTGTTTACTGTTATTATGGCATTTGGGAGGGGGCGATCTGGGTTATGGTGGGTGGTGGTGGTTAATGAAGTTGGATCGCCGGAATGTCATGTCTTTGGCCATGGTGTAGGTGGTGCTGTTAGGCTTGCATGGGTGGTTTTTTTTATTACTTGGGTGGTTGACGCTGGGGGACTGGTGGGTGGTGGTGGTTGTTCGCCGGAGAGGATGATGGTGGTGGTGGTTTATGATTTTGAGGAAGAGATAATTTAAATTATTGGTGAGGGGTAATTTGGACCTAAAATATATTGGAATTTGTCAAATATGAAATAGTTAGTGTAAAATTGTCACAAACACAAAATTATTAGTGTAAAAGTGTCGTATTTTTAATACATTTTGTTAAGGTGGCTTTATACATCCATTGTTTTTGGATACGGTCGTATTTGAAATGTATGGGACTTGTGGTATTTTAAAATTTCCATATTATATAGGTATATATCTGCTATTTCTGTTTTAATTTCTTAAGATTTGTCATGTCACCGTGTCTGTGTCGTGTTGTATCAATGTCTTGCATTTGTGTCCATGCTTATTAGAAGTTTTGATTGTCAAAGAATCATATCCGATTCTTCGTACAAGTAAATGGAGAACATGACTTTTGATACCCGTTACTTGAAATATACTTCATTTGTCCCATATTAGTAGTCCACCTTTTTTTTTAGGGATGTCCCATATTAGTTGTCCCATTATCTTTTCAAAACAAACTAAAGGCTATCTTTCCATAATTACCATTTAACTTTTACAAAAATTTCGCAACTTAATAATACACATATTTAAACTTAAAAGGATGACTTGTTTTAAAAGAGGACAGTGCAATAACAGTTTAATTGGTGTTGCATGTGTAAGAAGGCGGGCGAATCGGTTAATCACCTCTTGTTGCACTGTAAAGTGGTAGCGGATGTTTGGAGTTTGGTCCTGAATGTTTTTGGGGTAGATTGGGTGGTGTCAAGTAATACGATTGATATGTAGAGGCTTGGAGAGGGAGACCAATTGGCATTTGGTTTAGGAAGGCATGGAGGGTTGCTCCTCTTTGTATTTGGTGCGGGCTGTGCCACGAGCGGAATAGGAGATCTTTCAAGGGAAAGGAGTCGCCGGTGTGGGTTATTAAGGCGAATATTTTGCATTCTCTTTATTCTTGGGTTAATGGGAAAATTGCCCATCTATGGATAGCTTTTTGGATTTTGTTGACAATTTATTGTTGTAATGGCGCATTTTGCGTATTTTGTTTGCTTTGTTAAGGGTTCGCTCCCCTCTGAGCACCTTTGTTAATATATTTTTACTTTCACAACATTCCAAGAGGTTCTAAGAACTTTGGCTAAGAATCCCACAAGACTTCCATTCCCGATTCAAGCAAAATTTGACACTGTCAGGACAGTGCAATAATTGCATGCTCCTCAAAAAGTTATACTCCCTAAAATGAACAACTAATATGGAACGGAGGGAGTAGTTAAGAGAGAGGGAGATGTGGGACATGCTGGAGGTGATTTATATGCTCGAGTTCTTAACCCTTTTCAAGAAGATGCTATGCCGATTGAACGTTGGTGCCGGTTTCTTCTTCTTCTTTTTTTTTTTTTTTTTTTGATAAGTATTTTGGTGCCGGTTTCTTTAACTCCCTTTTTGCTTTATTGTCATTATTTTTGCGCATGAGTAGTGATGTATAAAAACGGATTAGAATGAAAGGAAGGCTCTTTTTTTTTTTTGGTTTGGGTGAGTTATCTTATTGCGGAAAGAAAAAGTAAAAAAAAAAAAAAGAAGATATAAGGTTCATCCTCTACCAGGCCATTAGTCCCGGTGGTATATTGGTATGAGCTCGAAGAGATAAGGTTCATCCTACCACCAAGCTGTTGGTATGAGGTCTCTTCTGAAAGAGAAGGTGAACAGGTTCAAAGCTCCACATGGGGCTGTGTGTGAGTTGTGCACATGTTGTTTACCTAACCAGAAGAGACGGATAATTCATCCTACATCCAGGTTGGTCTCATACTGTAACCTAATAAGTTAATGTTTCCACATGTAAGGGCATAGAATGTTATTATCCCTTCTGCTTTGAGAAGGGTTGTAATACTTTTTAGGACTTTCTGATGATGGACGGACATAATGAATTGACCCTTACCCAGATTTAAAATGTGGTCATTTAGGCCTTAGTTCAATAACTTCACATTTTCCTTTACTTTCTAGATGATGAGTTTTGATCATTATTTTAAGACAGCCTCTTTATTAAAGACTTTACTACTTTTCTTGCCTTAAAGATGACTACCATTCTTTACCACACGGGTGCTAATGATTGAATCAGACCAAGAAAGGGGCCTCAAGACTCTTCCATGTTCATGATTCCATTTTTTTTTTTTTTTGTTCGACAAGGATGTCTTGCCAACCCAACTGCTTTTGAGGGTTTGACATGTATCATTATCTGAACATAAGTTCTGGATCTTTTATGGTGATACAGCTACTACTTAAATGTGTTGATATTCCCACATTTAAGAATGAAGCATTTTACTCGGTTGCATTCTCGAAAGAAATAAAATCCAGAAATAGGAAACATTTTCTGTTTTGCATCCTCCAAAGAAATAAAATCTTTCAACTTTTTGTCCTTCATAGTTAATTTCCAAGGTCAAATTCTCGTTTCATTCACTTTGAAAATTTTCTCAAATGGCATTTTACTCGATGCATGTGTATATATATATAGAGAGAGAGATTCATGTAAATTGTTCCTTCTTCCCTTTTTGTTGGGGGGATATTTATTGTCAGAACATGTTGACGATACTTGTTGCAATTATTTGCTAGGATACAAGTAAGAAATCTCCTATGGAGTTGATCAATGAAGTTCCACCCATCAAGGTTGAAGGCAGGATCGTTGCTTGTGAAGGAGGTTAGTTGTATTCCAAATTGTTTCTCTCTCTCTCTCTCTCAAAACAGTTCTTTGTGGATAAGCCCTGGATCATGTACTCCAAGTCTATTTACAAAAGAGTTATGCATGTTTGGCGGCATCAAATTGGCACCTTGGATTTGGGATCGAAGAAAATTTAGTACAAAATTTCGGCAGTATAAAAATTGAACTAAACTTCCTTCAATCCGAAATCCAAGTACAAAAATTGAACTAAACTTCCTCCGATCCGAAATCCAAGGCACCGGTGCTCCCAAACCTAACATTAATGATTTTCTGGAATTTTCACTTTTTGTACTTATTTTGACATGGTATAAAATTGTGGTTGCAGACAACAATCCCGCGCTGGGGCATCCAATTGAGTTTATATGCCTTGACCTGAAGGAGCCGGCTGTGTGCAAGTACTGTGGCTTACGCTATGTTCAAGATCATCATCACTAGGGTTTTAACGATATTTTCTGCCAGGATATCCATCCACCATATTATGTCCATGGGAGATGATGCTTACTGGCGAAGTACCGAATGTTTTTTCTTCGAATATTGTGGGTCTGTCATCACCAAAATAAGGATTTTTATACCTTCAACACTATTCGGATTCTATTGTTGTGTATCGTACATCACCTTTATGCCCAGACTGTTGATCATTAATTCGAGGAATGTTTTACATTTTTAGAACTAGAAAAATCTGCGGAATGGTGCATAGAAAATAGACATGACAATTGCACACTACTTTTCTCCATTTGATATTTTTTATTAGGGAAGTGGCAACATTACTCTCTCAAAAGCGGAGAGCAAGGACATTAGTACGGACACGATTTAAAAAAAAATAGAGCACGAACATGGTAAGGATATGTAAGGATATGTCAATTAAATAATAGTATAATTTATTATAATATAAAAAATTACATATTTTTTTTTCAATTTGTCATCTATATTCATAAATATAGCCTATTTAAATTAGATCCACCATGTGTGTGTGTGTGTGTGGCCCATTAGCAAGATCAGAAACAGAGAGGCTTATTAAAACCCAAAACATTTTAAAAAACCCAATGGAACTAATAGCTAGTAAAAAGACTTGTTTGCTATATTGTAGTCAAATACTTTAACGCCATCCTCTATTGGTTGTGTTTGAAGTTCAAAACCCAATTAAAAATTGAGAACTTGAGAACTGAAAATCAAAAATTGTTTTTGAAGACTCAGTTTAAAAAATAACAGTTTTAATATAACAGTGTCTTATAACATAATATCGATAACTTCAAATCATTTGAAAAGAAACACACACATACTCATCACTACCGCACCCATATTACCCAGCATCTACTCACTATTGCTTGAATGAACCAGATTCTTAGTTCTGGACAAAACACAATGTGCTGAAAATTTTCAGAGATGGTGAAGATTTCGAGCGTGTGATACTCGTTCCTTCTATTTCTCCAACCAAAGCTCTGCAATGCCTATTGTGGTGTGATGCACGTTCCAGCTATTCGTTTAAGCAAAGCTCTGCAGTGTCATACACGTTCTTTCTCAGCGATGCCTCAATGCCTCTATGCAATGTGATACACGTTCATTCTATTTCTCCAAGCAAAGCATTATCATTTCTCTGCAATGCCCATTTGTTCTTTGAGATCCTACTATTGTGATACACCTTTTTTCTCTGCAATGCCCGTTTGTTCTTTAAAATCTTACTGTTTCTATAAGTGTGATGCACGTTCTTTCTCTGCCATGCCCGTTTGTTGTTTGAGATCCTGCTTCTTTGAGAACCTGACCCACTCCTAGCCAGGGCCGGAGTTAGGATTGCAAAGTAAAGGAAGCTAAAAATAATTAAATTCATGATTACTTAATGTGTCATTCATACTCTAAATACAAAATTCTTATGCATTAGTCATTTAATTAGACCCAATAATCTACAACCTTCTAACACATTTATACTTCCAAACTCTAACGTATTTTCACAGTTAAGCCAAGAATCCATTGAAGTGTGCTTCATACAAGTATTAAAACAAACACTTACAAGAATACAAGATATATATGTTCTTTATCAATAAATATACATTAGAAAGTCAGACCTATGTATTTCGCCACTGACTAGTTATTAATCTATTATATAATAAATTACCTAATTTAACAAGAAATCATCAACAAGTAATCAACAAAGCCCCCCTTTTTTTAACAAAAATAAAATTCAATATTTCACTGGATTAACAATAATAATCCATGATATCCATCTACCTATGCCTTAGTGCCTTATATACGAAAAGTTTAGATCTTTTTCCGTAGACTAACAATGTGTTTTATTTACCGGGTTAGGCCTTGTTATGTTTTATTATGGTTTATTTTTTGATTGATTTGTTCGTGATTGGTGGGTTTGTTTATATTTAAGGCTTGATCTTTGTAAATTTTATAACTCCTTTTATTTATAGAAATTCAATGGATTAGGCTGGGCTGATAGGAAAAGAAAGAGTAGTATATGGACTTATAAAAACAATAGTATTAATTTTTTTTTTCAATTGGACCTGGGCTATAGCCCATGTTAGCCCATTACTAGTTCCTCACTTGCTTCTAGCATATTGACAAATAGTTGTGAGAGAAAACCAAAGGAGTTGTTTCTATGCAACTTCTCACCATAGTAGTGTTGTATTTTCTGTTATATGGACTCTTCAAAAGTAGTGAAACACTCGTAACACATATCTCTCAGACATGAGTCCGGAATATGTGTCCGACACTTTTGGTTGGATATGTATTTTAAAAGTATAGCCAATCATTCAATTACATTATATTATTCTTTTAAAATGAATTAAATGCTTATATTGAACGTTATATTAGATAAAAACATTACTTTACTCTAAAAAATAAAATAAAATAATTAATAAAATGAATATTTAGCCGTGTGCGTGTGTTCGTCTGTTTAAAGATTTGACACGTCTGACTTATGAATATACACCCGTGTCCATATAACATAGGTTGTATATATATACATTTAGTTGTTACATATATATATATATATATATATATATATGTAGTACATGTGTTTCAAATCATTTAGTTGTTTTAAAATTCCTTTAGTGATAAGACTCCTAATAATTTTATACCAATTTAGTAGCTTTAGTTTAAGAATTCATCCAACAATTTAGTAGTAATTTATTTTAAGGTATGTCAAATCATATGTTTCACGTGGGTAATTAGATTGCCTTTTGTATTTTTTTAATATTATATTTAAATATGTATCTCCTTATACTTAAAATTTAACCTAAATAAAATACTTTGATAGTTTTTTTAAAAAAATTTTATATTGTTGTTTATTTACATTGAAAACTATTATAATGAATAAATTAAATTTAAATAGATTATTGTTTACTAAGAAATTGACCTTTGAATTTCAAAGGGTTAATTTATAATTTTACTTCCTTTCTACTAAGTATATAGAAAAGGATGAAGGTCACATAGATTAAATTACTTATCATCGCTTTCAATTTCTAATTAAATCGAATCTAATTTATTCAATTTAATTTTTGGGTGGTCATTTCAATCAAAACACAATATGGACTATGCAGAGTTATTGGCTCGTTCAAAGACCCAATATATGAATACATTTACATGTCTGAGTTGCACCCTCTCCGCCAATTCTACTGAATGCAAAACCAAAATTTAATATATTTTAATTAATTATGAACACCAAAAATTGCAACACAACAAATAATAAAATTAACCTCTATTAGCTTGAGCCTGAAGTACAGTACAAAGTGGTCGAATATGTTATTTGTCCAGATTAAAATTATATATTAAACTTAATTGTGGGCAAATTATGAAACCTTAATACAATCGATTGACCCCATTAAATTATGAATTTGAATTACAAATTTCAATTAAAATCAAATAAAACTAATATATACACCTATATAGGATACTCTTTTTTTTTTTTTTGCTTGCAGACCATCATGTTCATTACAGATATAACATATCTGCCCAATTTAAATATACGAGGATCACGATTTTGTGATGAGATAATTATAATTATTATTATTTTAGAGGACTGTGATTCAATATAATTGTAAATATATTATGGGTTAATTAGAAACATAATATAAAAAAAATAAAAAAAAACAATAAAAAAAAACTAAGAAGATCAAAACATGTATGTCACATAGTTTCTTTTTCGTAGTTCAAAGAGTGAAAACACAAATGCAGTTTGTGCAACAAGAGGAGACTATGAACTATTACTACATAAGCATAAGATCACTTCATTTCGTTTCCAAAGTCAAGTACACATTCCTATAACATAATTAACATCACTTCATTTCCAGTTTTGTGATAAAAATAAAATGTAAAAAACAAAATAGCATAACAATTAGCGAAAAGAGCAAAGAAAAACAAACCATAACCACTACTACCAACAACCCATACCAACTACCAGTTCAAACATCCGGGGGCATTTTGTTATCCTCGAAAATTCCTTGAACAATTGATTTCAACTTTCTAAAATCATTCAGGCCTTATCATTCGCTATAATTATATGTTAATGTTCCAATCTCCCCGAGTTAAGAAACCCAATTTGTGCATTCTGAGTATCTGATTAGTCAAGTCCCGAAACAAGAAGCAAAAAAAAAAATGCCATTAACACATATATATTTGTTGAAAAATAAACAATTACCTCAAAATATTTCCTAGAGAAGGAAAGACACTTATCACTGAGGCTTCCACCCATTTGTTGACCAGGATCGTTATAAATGTGAGAATAAGAAGAGAGAGGGGAAGTGAGAGAAAATTACAGAGAGGAGGGGGTATGTGTGGACTGGGAATTGTGGATATATAAAATAGGATAAAATGCAAGAAACCTCTTGGACTATTGGGAAATCTATAACTAACTCCTGGACTTCCAAAAATGCAAGACCCCTTAGACTATGCAAAATTAAAGCAGATGACCCCAGCCGTTCAATGTCCGGTGATATATGACCGTTAAAATTGGTTTGTTAATTTTAAATGATCATATTGCCCATAAAAGTATGAAAGGACAATAATGTCCCTAATTTCCAACCGTTGACCCAAAGCCCATTGCTATTGATGTGGCAAACAGAAGAGATAACAAGCTGAGTGCATAAACACAAACCTAGTTCCACAACCATAGCGGCGACGGCCATGAAACACAATCTTCTGGTGTTTCAATCAATATGGTTTTGAGCAGTGATATTGTACTACATCTGTGATTGTTAGGTTTCTCTCTCTAAAATTCTGCCCATCATCGTCATCGCCAACCTTCCTTTTATTCACGAAACTGCCCTAACCCAGCCTCCCTTTTATTCACTCCACACACAGTGCAGAAAAGGAAGAAGTGGTGGCAACGGCGGTGGGGAAGAAATGCAGTGGTGAGCTCAGCGGGCTGGTTCGGCGGTGGCTCAGTCGTGGATGACTCGGCGGTGGCTCAGATGAAGCGACGACAGAGGGGACAAGCTCGAATGGTGGAGAGGACCGGCAAGCAAGGTGGGTTGAACGGCGATGGGCTGGTTTGGCCATGGTTGACTCGCGGCGATGGGTTGGTTGCGGCTGAACTACACAGCGGCCGAGCTTCGCCTCATTCGCCGACCTCCCCGTTCCGATCGGGACGTTCACCCACTTCTCGTTTTCATCGAATTCCACATATTCGACCCTACTTGCTTCGCAATCATCCTCCATGGTATTCAAAAATTAAA